AGACTGCAGGTGAACCACCTTGGCAGTCTAGATGAAGCATTTGGGTTTGATAAAAGAGTTATTTGGAATCTGCCAGTGCTGCTGGGGGTCAGGAAGTAGGTCCGAGGTAATGGTGAGGGGCAGGATAGTCTTAACGGCTTCCTGGGGAGATGAGGCTGATGCTGTGGCCCCACTCCTGGCTCTATGGCTCTCCATTCCAATGCGCAGGAGATGCTCCCACCAAGCATCTGATGCTAAACTCTTTCTAGGCTTAAGATTGAAGGTTGAGCTTAGGCCGGCTGACCTACTTTTGCCACAGAAGACAAGGGCCCTCCACCAAAATCCCTTCAGGGATGTCCTATCCTCTTCCCATGCTTCCCTCCCCTGGCTTTATTCTCAGCCCCAACATGACACTGCAAGCCCTGTACACCTGTCTTTTTCATTCCCTTTCCAGTGCTAGAGATTGAGCCCAAGACTTCAGGGACATCAAGAAAGTAATCTAAGAGCTGGAGAGATGGTTCAGTGGTTAAGAGCACTGGCTGCTCTTCCAGAAGTCCTGAGTTCAAATCCCAGAAATCACAAGGGGGCTCATGACTTAAAAGAATCTATAAAGGAATCCATCGCCCTCTTCTGGCACACATGTGTATGTGCAGACAGAGCACTAGTATATTTATAAAAAAAAAATACATAAATAAATTTGAAAAAGAAAAGAATCTACCACAGCACTATACCTCCAGACAACTGTGCAACTTCGAAAGTTAACAAGGTTTTTGAATCTTCTTTTGGGAGCAAATACCAAATACCAGGGAATCTTTCTAGATCCTGTTGTCTTTCTCAATCCCCAGTCATGGTGTCAAACCAAGGGCCCTGTGCATGTAGACAAGTGTTCTACCACTGAGTTCTGCCCCAGGATGTTGTAATAGAAGGGACTGCCTGTACCTCCTCTCCCTGTGTCAGCTGCTCCCCATCTATGGACCTCCCACATCCCAGGTACTGACCTGGGCAATTAGTTTATCGATTGCTCCCAGGAAGCCTACAATACGGAAATGATTATAATCCTCAGAAGGAACTAAAAGTTCACAGGGTGGAACAATTTCTCCAAGGTCAACTCAGCTTCCCAGAGCCAGATCCAGGATTGGACTTGCGCTACTAGCCGCAGTTGCTTAGTTTTGTAGCATTGGTGGCCCTGTGCCCTTGGGCCTCCTACACTTCACTAGCTTGCCTCATCTTTCCAGAGCATGAAGCAGGGCTGAACCGGAGACTTCTCTGAGCTCTCTCTGTGTCCATCCCTGAGTGTTGAGCTCAGGTATCCTGCTCTGTTGAGTACATGGTCTAGACTCCTGGTTCCCTTGGCAACTTAGAGCCATCTATCTCTTGATCAGAAGCTAGGAGAGTCAATAATAAGTAGCGTTACAAAGGTTAGGATTCAGACTCAGCAGGAGACACTGGGTCAATCTGTAGGGAGAGCTTGGGAGCTGTGATGTGCTGTGACTCACCTCATGGATCCGAGCGAGGCCAGCGTGGGGGACAGAGTAAAATTTCCACAAGGACAAAACACTTGCCATGTAAGACTGGGGACCTCTGTTCCATCCTCAGATCAGGGGGAAAGTGACTCCACAAATCTGTCCTCTGACTTGCACATGCTCATGGTACATACACACAGCTATAAGGATAATGATGGTGGTGGTGATGATGGTGATGATGGTGATGATGATAACCAAGTAAATAACTTAAAGTTTTAAAAGTGTGAAGGGTGCCAGTGAAATAGTGAAATAGGTCCCTTGGGTTAAAACACTTGCCACTAACAACCTGAATTCAATCTCCAGAACTCACATGGTAGAGGGAAAGAATTGATTTACCTATACACAGAATAAGTAAATAAGTAAATGTAATTCCAAAATTTAAAGCAAGCTAGGGCAGTGGTGGTACACACACACCTTTAATCCCAGCCCTCAGGGGGCAGGTGGATCTCTGTGAGTTCAAAGCCAGCCTGGTCTACATACTAAGTTTCAAGACAGCCAGAGAAAACCTGACTTAAAATAGAAGGAAGGAAGGAAGGAAGGAAGGAAGGAAGGAAGGAAGGAAGGGAGGGAGGGAGGGAGGGAGGGAGGAAGGGAGGGGGGGAGGGAGGGAGGGAGGGGGAGGGAGGGAGGGAGGAAGAAGACTTAAAGCAGGAGACTGGGAGACATCTGAGTCAGCATAGTTGCCAATGCAAGCACCAGGACTTGGGTTTGATCCCTGGAATCCACTTGAAAAGCCAGGCATGATGGCACTCCCTTACAGGTGGAGACTGGTGAATCCCTAGAGCTGACTGGCCAGCCCAACTTAATCCACAAGCTCCAGGCCCTGTCTCAAAAAACAAAGGGAACACTGGCCACCTTCTCGTACATGAGCTCAAACAGCCCAGCTAGCCCCAGCCCCCCCCCCCCCCCCCCCGGGAGGGAGAGAGAGAGAGAACAAAAGGGTCTAACTTGCAGGAGACCCTGGTTCAGTTCCCAGTACTGGATAAAACTGGGTGTGGCGGTGCAGTCCTGCAATCCCAGCACTTGAGAATTGGAAGCAAGATCATGAATCCAAGGACATCCTCATCTACACAGGGAACTTGAGGTCAGCCTGGGCCGCAGGAGACTCATTCCACTCCCATCCCCCACATGACTGCTAACAGCTAGACCAGGCTTCCTGCTCACCTCTTGCCTGTATGAGTACTTTACATAGTAACTAATATTTCCAGCAACTCAGTGAAACTGGGACTGTCAAGACAGGGTTTCTCTGTGTAGCTCTGACTGTCCTGGAACTCATTCTGTAGACCAGGCTGGCCTCGAACTCAGAAATCCGCCTGCCTCTGCCTCCCAAGTGTTGGGATTAAAGGCATGCGCCACCACTGCCTGGCAAAGCTGGTACTGTCATCTCCACTTCCTCTTGGTGAAATTCATCCATCAAGCATAAAGAAGTTAGCCTGGTAGTCTCGTATTTGTCTGTGATCCAAGCACTTGAAAGGTGGAGGCAGGAAGCTCAGGAATTAAAGAGCATGCTCAATTACACAGAGAGTTTGAGGCTAGCCCGAGCTGCGTGAAACCCTGTCAAAATAAACAGTGTGTCTGTCTGAGGTCACGAAGTTCACAGGGCTTATGAATGCGGGCAGTCTAGCTGCACACCCCTGCTGTTAAGTACTAAGCCACATATCCAACTTTCCTGTGGGGAGCGAGCACTGATAGGCAGGACCAGCAAGGAAATAGAGAAGCAGGGCAGGGCGCGTGATTTAGAGACTGAACAGTTCCCTTTCTGGGATCATAAAGCAGGGAGAAAGAGACCCATCCTCAGTGGGAAGGAAGATAAGGCACTTTAGGAGGGCGGGCAGGTGAGTGTTCCTCATCCTTCCTGGGGAAGCTCTGGGTCAGGAACCTTTTATCCTAACTCTGTGGGGAATTCATAAAGCTGATAACAGCTCAAATGTGTGAGGGCCATGAAGGTGCAGGACCCAGGATCCCAAGGAAGTGATGGAGAAAGGAAGGAAGGACAGGAGGATGGAAAGGAGGGAAAGAAAAGGTAAAAACCAAGATAGGATAGGGATAGAATCTCTCCAGCAAAGGGCCCTTCTGCCCTCCTTAGGCCATACACACACTGAGTGCATTCACACTCACCTATACATCCAAACATGACATAAAACAGTCAAGAGAAAGCGAGTCCCTGAGAGGAGTCAAGACGGTTTCACAGAACTTAAAAGGACATATGTACATCATGGTCCAAGTTCCTAGATTCATGCCCTCACACTGTGGCATGGAAACGGCCTGATTAGGACCCCAGAGCCCAGGACAGGAGCCTGGCACTGTGTTGAGGCCACTGGTACCAAGGACTCTGATCTCGGTGCCCAAATCCTGCTCTAGGGTCCAAACAGAGCACATCTAGCTTTTCAAGTGCAGAAGCTATGGCATTGTCTCCTGCCTCCAACATGACCTAGCTGTGTGACCTTGGGCGGGCAAGTCATTTGCCTCTCTTTTTTTTTTTTTGGTTTGGTTTGGTTTTTTGAGACAGGGTTTCTCTGTGTAGCCCTGGCTGTGTCATTTGCCTCTTAAGAATCTAATCTGTGAAACTGGGATGATTCCTGCTGGGTGAGGATGTGATCAAGAGTCCATGAAAAGAAGATAAAATGGTGTCCTTGGCACAGTCTTTGTCTCTTAATTAGTACTCTGTGATCAGCAGTTGATAGTTATGACAACAGTTTACCCTGAGCCATCCTGTCACTTGGAGCATAGGATAGCCATCCCTATTGCCCTAGCTTAAAGGACATGGTATCACCTGTGAATTGTGGGGTCAGGACACATGGCACTTTTGATACTCAAAGTCCAGACCAGTCCCACAAGGCTAGTTAGTAGTGCACACCCAGTTCCCCGGAGCAGCTGGATGACAGCCTCCATCCATCGATGACAGTACCAGTCCAACCTAACTTTATGGACCCAGATCGGGAAGAGTGGGGTCTGGTCCAGTTCCTCCAGGCTGCTGCTCAGAACAGGTAGGCAGGTGTGAGTGGGGATTAGAGGGCCCTGGGACTTGGGAGACCAGATAACCAGGTGTCAAAGGGAAGCTCCAGGGGAAAGTGTTGCCTCTGGGCTGCAGTTGGTTGATTGTGTTTGTTTTGAGACAAGGTCTTGCTCTATAGCATGGGCTAGCTTTGAACCTGTGATCTCTTGCCATGAGTGCTGGGCTTGTAGACATGCACCATGAAACCTAGTAAGTTGGGGCTCTGATCATCAACACTTCAGAATCTACTGATCCCAGCTCCGAAGGCAAAAGAGTTGTGGAAAACCTCTGTGAGGGGCACAGAGCTCAGCCCCACTTTACCCAACTCCATCCTGGTTTTACCCATGTTCTGCAGAAGACAGTTGATACTTCAGCTACAGACACAGGGTAAAGATGAGTGGCCAGAGATGAAGGGACTTTGCTTGGAGTGCTAAGCTTAGTGGTAGGAAAGACAAGCAGAGAAGAGAACAGTTCTGTGACTTTCTGTGCCAGGCTCCAGCACCATGACGGTGTCTTATACTCTCAAAGTGGCAGAGGCGCACTTCGGAGCCTTCTCTGGCCTGCTCTCCTGCTGGAAGGGCAGCATCTACAGGCTCCTGTACAAGTACCTGCTCTTCTGTGCCTTGTATGCTGCACTCAGCATCACCTACTGGTGAGGGTAGATCTGAGCCCTGGCCTATGGGGATCTGTGCTGCCTACCTCCTTCCAACTCAGGTTTCTGCCTGACATTCCCTAGGCTGTTGCTGACCCAGGAGCAGAAGCATATTTATGCCCTGGTGGATACTGCAACCGCTCAGCAGACCTCATCCCTTGTCCTTTGTGCTGGGTGAGGCCCTCTTCTAGCTTTCCCTGGTATCCTGACCTTGTTTTTTTTGTTTGTTTTTTTCAAGACAGGGTTTCTCTGTGTAGTCTTGGCTGTCCTGGAACTCACTCTGTAGACCAGGCTGGCCTCGAACTCAGAAATCCACCTGCCTCTGCCTCCCAATTGCTGGGATTAAAGGCGTGCGCCACCACTGCCCGGCCTGATCTTGTTTTCTGACCTTCGGGTTGATGTGACAACTCTGCACAGTATGGCCTACAGTTAATCATTAGACATAAAGGCTAGAGCCTGAGTCCACAGTTTTCTCTGGGTTCTCATTTGCCTGTCATTTGTTGGACCCTCAGTCTTCACTGACATAAAGACACTCACTGGCTTTATAACACAACTCTGGGTATCAGATGGGGTCTAGAGAGAAGGGATCCCCCACCCTCACGGAAAAAGGTCTCAGAGTAAATAATTACCTGGCCTCAAATCCCACCTCCTTCTTCCTTGAAAGTTTGTACTTTCTGCTTCCTCCTGACCCAACTTTCCTAGCAAGTCGCAAGAAGGTCACTAGAATCCAATGTAGTATCTCAACCCCTTTTGAGTGCCTGGGACCCTTCTTTCTGCCTGTTACCCATGGTGGTTCACTAGGTTTCTACGTGACTTTGGTAGTGAATTGTTGGTGGTCTCAGTACACAAGCATTCTACTGCTGGACCAGGTAATGTGTGTCATCTCAGCCAGTGTGCAGTGTGGACCACAGTGGCCGTTTGCTACGCCGAACTCTTATCCGCTATGCCAACCTGGCATCGGTTTTGCTGCTACATTCCGTAAGCACCTGTGTACTCAAGTGCTTCCCTACCATGGAGCATGTGGTGGACGCAGGTGCTGGCAGGTCGCACCCCCAGGGTAGGTGGCTGGATGCTGTCATCTTGGTTTTCCTCCCGTCATGAAAAGGTATGACCTTTAGGGGGCGCTCCAGGATTCCAGGGAGGCCAATGGGTTTAAGGGAGAACAACCAGCAACAGGATCACTGGCGCTCCCTGGTGGTTGAGGACTCTGTACCTTACCTCCTTCACCCTGGCCAGGTTTCATGTCTCAGGAAGAGAGGAAAAAGTTTGAGTTTGAAATCTGACTTTAACAAGTACTGGGTCCCTTGCGTCTGGTTCACTAACCTAGCCGTCCAGGCCCACAGGGATGGACAAATCCATGACAACATCGCTCTCTGTCTCATACTAGCAGTAAGTAGTTTAGGGTTTGGATCCTTGGCTCTCCTTTCTCTAGCTTAATAATATTTTTGGTACTTAAAACTTACTAGGCACCAACTATATGCCACACACTCTTCTGGGGTGAGGGAATACAGGATTACTCTCTAAAGCTCAAGTTTGCCTGTAACTCACTATTTAGCCCAGGCTGGCCCTAAACTCATGGCAATTCTGCTACTGTCTATACATTTTGGAAGTATGTGAGCTTACATTGGCTCAGTCCTCAAAACAACCCTTGGGACAAGTACTATTATCACTCCCTTTCAGAGGTAAGGAAACTGAGGCTAGAGTTCGGCTTGTTGGTGAAGCTGGAATTCAGTCGTTCTGGCTATAGGTCTGGAATGTAGTTTTTTGCTGATTTCCTAAATTGTTATCCAGAAGCACTCCAGCCTGGTACCACCCGACAGCAAGCAGGAGAGCCTCGCCTTGGGCCTGGCCAGGTCTGCTGTGTATGGAGTCTCCTGTTTTCTTCCTCATCCTCCCTCCTTGTCTCCTCTGCCTTCCCTCATCCTCTTTCTCTAGGAGCTGAACAAGTATCGGGCCAAGTGCAGCATGCCATTCCACTATGACTGCATCAGCATCCCCCTCGTCTACACCCAGGTAACCACCCACTCAGGTGTTTACTGGATGTTCTGAGGTACGTAAAGGACAGAGAAGGCTCTTCACCTGGGCCAACGCAGTCTCAAGAAGCACTCAATGCTGAAGACCATCCTCAAAAACCTTCCTCTCAACCCATCAAGATGACCTGCCAAGCATGGTAAAACACATCTTTAAAATCCCAACCCTTGGGAGACAGAGGCAGAAGGATATCTGTGAGTTCAAGGCCAGCCTGGTCTACATAAGCAAGCTCTCTAAGACAGTCAAGACCACATAGAGCCCCTGTCTCAAAAAATATAAACTCCTCCAGGCCCAGAGATGGAGACAACACTTCTTGCTGTCCCAGTGTCCAGCACTGGCTTTTCCCTCCTCAGGTGGTGACAATAGCTGTCTATTCCTTCTTCACCTTTTCCCTGACTGGCCTCCAGTTTGTGGAGCCAGAAACAGGGACTGCCAAACTTTAGGAGCCTCTCGAGCCAGGCAAGGAAGCCTCTCCATCCCTGATCAGCCTGGATGTGTTCATGCCTCTCACTACACTCCTGCAGTTTTTCTTTTACGCTGGTTGGCTCACGGTGAGTATGGCATCTTACTTTGTAGAGGTGGGCACATATAATCACTGTCAGGCTGCAACACTGGGCAGTGGAGTAGGGGAGGAGGCGGGCTTTGCAGCTAACACATCATTTCTGCAATTCATAGGTGGCTGCACAGCTCATTAACCCCTTTGGTGAGGATGATGACAACTTTGAGACCAATCAGATAATACAGGGAAATTTGCAGGTTAGTGTGGGGTAGGGGACTGGGGGCAGAGAAAGCCAGGTGTGCAGAGAAATGTTTGTGGCCTACTGCCACAAACGTTTGCCCTTCTTCTGGCCCAGGTGTCCCTGTTCTCTGTGGATATGTACCAGAACCTGCCTCTCACTGAGCAGGACCTGTACTGGGGTGAGGCCCAACCTCAGCCACCCTAAACTGTGCCCACAGCTGCTGAGTCGCTGTGGCCTTCCTTCATGGGTCCTACTTTCAACCTGCGGTGAGCTGGGATCTGACATGGAAACCAATACCTAGTCCCTGCCTACCCTATGGGGTTACCAAGAACTCCTCCAGGAGTTATTACTTGTCTTTGTTTGCCCTGGTGCCTGCAGCATGAGTGATGACCCTGAGCAGTGCCTGCAGGTGGAGGCGTCCCGGAGGTCTGACCTGCCAGCGCCTGCCATGCAGACCCCACCTCCCGGGTGCAGGCACGCTCTGTGAGCCTGCCGAACTTGAGGGAAGCACATGGTATTCCCAGGACCCCGTACCTGCTTCATTTCCAAACAGGCAGTGAGTAGGCTGAGGGCCACACTGATGAGGCTGTGGGTGAAGGATCTGAGGATGAAGCCCTGGAACCCTAAGAATCCTCTCTGGGGCTGGCCACCACCTCGTCTTCTTCCCTAGCTTCACTTGGTCTTATCATACACCACTTAGAACAACTTTTCTGGACAGCAGGATTGGCTTTTGGAAAAAGCACTTGGGGATAGCCCTTGAAAGCAAAGATAGCTGAGTCAGAGCTGGAGGTAGACCGTGTGTCTCCATTTAGCACGAAAGGCTAAATATTTGTTACCTTCTCTGTTGGCAGGCACTGGAGAGCTAGGCCAGTGATCCAAAGAATTGAGAGACCAGGGGCTGGAGAGATAGCTCACAACCATCTGTGATGGGATCTGATGTCCTCTTCTGGTGTTTGAGGGCAGCTACAGCGTACTCAAATAATTCTTTGTTTACCTGAAGTCGTGCCTGGTGCCTAGCTCCACTCCCAGCCCCTGTGCTTCATTTGATTTAGTAGTAGCGAGTTCAGCAAGTGGCATTTCCACCTCTAGGATGATGCTGTGCTACTGGCCTGGGATAGCTATTTCAGAATCAAGCTTTAAAAAAAACCTCACATTTCTTACCCCAGGAACTTCACTCACTCTGAAGGCAGGTCAGCAACTTTAACTGTAATGCCTACAATGAGAATATATCCATCTCTTTGTTGTGGAATTGTATTTAACTTGGTACTTGCATAGGATATAGGTGTAATGTCTATATTTCCACCTTTAGGAACATTTGGTTCATGGAGACCAGAGTGGTAAAAGGTTACTTTCAACTCTTGCTTTTATAAAGGATGGCTAATGCCAGAACAAAGGAGGAAAGCTGAGCAAACACTGGGCAGGATCTCACTAAACTGCCCAGGCTGACCTTCCTCTGCCTCAGCCTTCCAAGTAGGTAAAATTATAGGCTATGTCCCACCTTCTCAAAAATATTCTTGTGCCGGGCAGTGGTGGTGCACGCCTTTATTTTTTGTTTTGTTTTTTTTCCCCGAGACAGGTTTTCTCTGTGTATCCCTGGCTGTCCTGGAACTCACTCTGTAGACCAGGCTGGCCTCTGAACTCCAGGCTGTCAAGAACTTGTTTCAATAAAACTAAACAAGACAAATGTCCCAAAAGGCACCTGAGCACACACCCACTCTCCTACCTGTCTCAGGGCTACGGCAAGATTATCGAAAAATCAAAGCCAAGTTGGGTTGCAGAGAAGGTGCACTAGAAATTGGAAAAAACCCCCGCTGCTTAGTTCCCAGCACCCAATCAGGTGGCTCCTAAATATCTGTACTCCAGCCCCCAGGGATTCAACATCCTTTTCCAGTGCCTAGGGTGGGTGCACACAGGTAGTGAGAAGGGAGGGCACTGGCTCAATAGGTTAAATGAATGCTCACTGCCAAGTCTGACCTAGATCTGATCATTGGGACTCACTGAAGTTTGTCCTCTGATGTCCAGTGAGGGGCCAATCCCTCTTCTTACAGAAACATCTTAGGACTGGAGAGACCACTCAGGAGTTAGCACCCACAGCAGCTCACCACCAGTCAGGGACTAAGGGCACTGCACACATGTGATGTACATCCCAGCTGGCAAAATACCAAACACACGCAATGTAAAACAAAAACCACTCCAAGTCCTGTGCCGAGACCAAGGGGGCAGCTCAACTGAGATTAGGATCAGAAGGCCACAACACAACACCTAAGCCAGAGAACAGTTTACAAATGCACACCTCCCTAGACTTAAGCTGGAGGACTGCTCAAGGCCTGTCTCTAAAAATAAAGCTGGTCACTTGTGACTCAATGTTTTTTATCCCAGCACTCACTCAGGAGGCAGAAGCAGATGGAGGTGGATCTCTTTGAGTTCGAGACCAGCCTGGTCTACCAGAGTAAGCCCCAGATAGCCAGGGCTACATAGAGAAACCTTATCTCAAAAACAAAACACTTCATTATTAAGTCAGGAATGATGGCATCCCATAATCCCAGCTGAAAAGAAAAAAGCAAACTTTGAGTTCAAGGCTAGCCTGGTCTACACTGTGTTTCTGATCAGACATCAAAATATAGTGAGACCCCCATCTCAAAACACAATCGCCAGGCGGTGGTGGTGCATGCCTGTAATCCCAGCACTTGGGAGGCAGAGACATGCGGATTTCTGAGTTCGAGGCCAGCCTGGTCTACAGAGTGAGTTCCAGGACACCCAGAACTACACAGAGAAACCCTGTCTCGAAAAACAAAAACAAACAAAAAAAACCCACAATCAAGCTTTAAAACCCTAACCTTTCCCAGTCAGCTCACTCCCTTCTGTTTCTGACAGGTAAACTCAGCTACTGCCCCAGTGCTGGACCTGCCCAGCTGCAATGCCCTCCTCCCCCGCCCCGAGGGCCACAGATGAACAATCTAGAACTGGGAGCAAGCTCCTGCAGCACAGCTTTCTTTAATCTCAGCTCACAAGAGGCAGTTTATGGACCTTGGAATTCCAGGAGAGGCAGGACCAAAGACTTCACCCCAGAACTTCCCTCCCCTCAAAACAAAACTTTGAATTGCTGGGAGACTGGACAATAAAATACTAATTGCTATGCAAACATGAAGATCTAAATTTAGACCTCAAGCACCCACTTGAAAGCCAGTACAGCAGAGCACACCTGCTGGCAGTCCTAGCATCAGAGGGGACTCCTAGAGCTCACTGGCTCAATTCTGGCTAAATTAAATTGGTATCTCAGTTTAGAGACCCATTTCATAGAGGACACTCCTCTCTAATCTAACCTTCACACCCATGCCCCACCCAAAGAGAATGTACTGCATTTACCTTGGGAGGGGGAATCTCATTTATAAGTGAAATAATTCAGCAGAATCAAATATTTGCTGTTAAGGCTATCAATAAAATAGTCCTCTTAGATTAGGTGGATCTGGATCTCTTGAGCTGCATTCAGCCTGGTGTGGCCAGCCAAGGCCACCAATTGGGACTGTGCTTCACCAAAAACCCCTAAACCATTAACCTTATTAATTTCCAGTGACGACATGGGTTTTAATCTGTGATAGTTTTACATAATTACCAGCTGCACAGTCCTGCTGGGTGCTCCCCGAGACCTTTGTACGATTTTGGATTCTTTACCGGTAACTCGAGTCTACCAAAATCTTGGCCACTGGCAAGATTCTCAATGTCAAAGTCCCTAGACTTCCCAGAAACCTGGCTGTAGGTATAGCCAGCTATGTGCTTAACACTCAAGATTAATGCCTAGCACACACACAATTAAAAAATCCTTAAATTCAAGTCAACAAAGGAAAGGAACAGCCTTTTTCGCCTGATAATACAAGCACGATTTAGACAGAACCCCAATATTGTTAGAACTCAGCACAGTAGAGTTTATTAGCCTCTGCCACACCAATCCACACTCAAGTCCAGGGGAATTCTGGCTTCACTTTAAATCGTTCTCAAAACAAGTCTGGCTTTCAAGGACTGGGCCCCTACAGTACAGCTGCACAGTGAAGATAGTTTCCTCAGGTTTGCTCACAGAGCAGGAAAAAAAAAATCTATCCAAACACCCAGACAATATACATATAACAGCAAACACCTTTATTACACGAGCTATGAAGGATGGTTATTTGCCTTTCCGGGCTTTGATCTTCCGCAGATAGAACTCCAGCTCCTTGCCTTCGAGCACATAGCCATCTGCTCTGCCACACTGGCCTGGTCTTGAGGCAATACAGGCTGAAAGAGAACAGGCAGTCTTCAGTAAAAGGACAAGAGGCTCCACACCACATACCTGCCCTACCTCTTAGAAGCCCACACTAGCTTGCTATTCAGAGGGCAGGTGTTGAGGCCGACTGTCTCCTCAGATACACTTCATCCTCACTTAGAGGTCAGCAGCAGAACTGGACAAAGTTCTCATCACTGAGACAGCACCAGCCAGGGCATTAACTCTTTCCCTCCAGCTACACCCCGCTTTACTTGTGTTTGCTCTCTGCACTCCATGTACCCCACTGAACCTGGGGTAAAACACCACACCACCAAGTCCCAGCTCAACACCACCACGGCCATCTCACCGAGAAGCTTGCCCTGCTGGAACTGTTCCTCCAGAAGACTGCTGATTTTGGCATTCTTTTTCCTTTCGTCATATTTCTTTTGAATTTTCTTTGATCGTTTTTTGTTTAAAATCTCTTCCTCCTCGGGAGTCTGAATAAAAAGAGTATGAATGGGTTTGTCACCAGAAAGGTCACAAGCTTTCTTGGACCCCCAAAGTCCTGATGCTTGCCTTCTTCAGCACTAAACTATTCATCTCATTCCTTCAGTAGCAGAACTGGACAGTATTTTCATCACAAGAAGGCAGCCCACCCCCAGCCCCTTACAGGAAAACAACGCACCAGTTTGGCCCCCTTCTTGCGGCCCAGGGGCAGTGCATAGTGGGACTCGTACCACTGCCGGTACGGTGTGCTGTCAATGAGCACAATGCAGTTCTTCACCAGGGTCTTGGTGCGGACAAGCTCATTATTGGATGCATTGTAGACAACATCAATGATCCTTGTTTTTCGAGTACAACCTGCACATAAAAAGAAATCCATAATCAAGGGACTGGGGCATTCAATGTGTTCCAGGCCCAAATGTGACATCCAGTGTACACACACCTACCCACCTCATGGCTTTACCTCCCTTCCCCAACAAGGGCTGAAGGGAATACCCGGTCTCAGTACCTAAGCTCTTCTCCCAGCCCCTCTTTATTACTGAGACCTTTACCTCTCGTTGCAGGAGTTAAAAAAAAGAATTCTCCAACTACCTCAAGGTCTTTAAGCAAGGAACAAATTCAAACACTTCAACACCTACTTACACTCAGAGCCCCAGGAAAAGTTCCCCACATCCAATCTCAGAGCACGGTACTTCTTATTGCCCCCTCGAACTCGGACTGTGTGTATGCGGCGAGGGCCAATCTGGAAAGTGCAAGAAGACCAGGACATGGTCATCAAGAAGAGAGGGGACCAGGTGAGGAACCTGAACTGGATGGAGGTAACAGTCAGTGTAACTATGACAAGTCCTCGCATTGGCAAGTGGTACACAGGTGACCAAGACGGCCATAACCACGCCTAAGGATACTTTTTCATCACCCTAGTTACCTCCAAAAAAGAAAAGCCAGATCCCTCAAACCCAGGAGAAAAGTCCAGTAAAAAACACACCAAGCGTGCAGTACTTGTGTGAAAGGAACCCATTCCCTAGGCCCCGTCGGACCCTAAGGTGGTGATTGGGGCGCACAGACCCCGCTCTTCACTCAGGACGTGGACCCGTACACCATGCCCAGTCCCCAGCACTCAGAAACCAGAGCCCTACAAAGGTGGCCACAGCCACTCGTGTACCCCGCAACCACGCTCCAACGCAGGGGAGGGTGGTCTCTCCCAGGCCTTAACCCCCCGACTCCCGCACGCACCTTAGTGTTGGCTGCAGGCCGTCCCAGCTCATACTTCCGCTTCTTGTGGTAGGGTTTTCTCTTACCCCCGGTCTTGCGGCGCTTGTGCCAGTTGTCCCGAGAGATGCCTGTGAGTGGGAGCGAGGAGGCAAGCCTGAGCAACCGGGCCTCGGTGCCGGCGACTTATTCCGCTCCCGAGCCCAGCGCCGCGCGGGCCGCACGCTCAGCTCTCCAAGGTTGGCTTCCCCACGACACAGTCGGGAGTGTGCAGCATACCCAGGTGTCATCATCCGCGTGCGGCCCGCGGCAGCCATGTTGGATCGCTCGCAGCCCCGACTCCCGGAGGCGGCCGCAGCGATCTCGGGGGCCCAAGCCCACGGCAGGCCCTTTCCACGGCTGCTCGTGGCCCACGGTCGGGTCGAGCATGCGCCTGGCTGGGCTGTGAGGCAGGATGGAGACGGATGGAGCTCGCTCCCCGCGGCCCGGCCCGGCCCAGAGCAACACTCACCCATCGCTCGGCGCTGGCTGGAAAGAGGAAGCGCAAAGCTTCACGGTCCGGTTTCTAAAACGCAGCCCCGCCTTCTTTACGTCTCTTCCGGCTGCCGAGAAGGACCTCAGCGATCCTGGGACGCAGGCACGGGGGAGGATCCTGCGGCGTGCGAACTCACGCGGACCCCGCCTCCAGCCCCTTGACCTTGGGCGTGCGGAGGGCGGGCCGCTGCGCTTTAAGCTGAGGTGATAGGGCACACTTACCAGCTGTTGGGCTTACATTTTGTCCTTTAAAAAAAAAATTTTTTTTTTTTTGAGACAGGGTCGTAGACTAGCCTCCTGTAGCCGGTATTAAAGGCGTAGTCACCGTTCAGTGTGTGAATGTGGTTTGTTATTTTTAAAATTACACATGGCAGGGCACGGCGCACGCCTTTAATCTCAACTCACCGGAGGCAGAGGCAGGCGCATTTCTGTGAGTTTGAGGCCAGGCTGGCTATATAAAGCGAGTTCCAGGACAGTCAGAGCTTGTTACACAGTGAAACTCTGTCTTAAAAAATTTAACGAGAGATAGGATTACAGTGTGTGTGTGTGTGTGTGTGTGTGTGTTTGTGTGTTGTGGGGTGGAAGTGTGGGGACAGGGAGTTCGTGACTTGTGCATGCTGCTGCTAGGAACAGAAGCTGTTGGATACCAGGCAACACTCAACTCAGCTAACCCCAGCTCTGTCTGGAATACATCTTTAAAGATTTATTTATTTTATTTATATGAGTACATTGTAGCTGTCTTAGATTCCATTATAGACGGTTGTGAGCCACCACGTAGTTACTCAGGACCTCTGTAAGAGCAGTCGGTGCTCTTAACCACTGAGCCATCTCTCCAGCCCTGGAATACATTTTAAAAAAAGATTTATCTTCATTTTACAAACATTGATGTTTGCATTCCTGTCTGTGTTACAGATGGTTGTGAGCTACCGTATTGGTGCTGAGAATTGGACCCTGTCCTCTGAAAGAGCGACCAGTGCTCTTAACTGCTGAGCCCTTGAACACATGTATGATGAGAAAGAAATACTTTAGGTACAGCTACTCAATCCTGTCTAGTCAAAGCAGGTATAAAAAACAGTAAATGTGGGGCCAGCAAGAGAGTTCAGCAGCGAAGGGTCCTACAGCCAAACCTGAAGTTTGATGCTCTGCATTTACACAGTGGAAGGAGAGAACAGACAAGTTGTCCAACAACCAAATAGCAAATGAGTGGTTGTGCCCTGTGAATACTTGCATTTGAGTTTCATGTAATTTTCTTTTCTTTTTTCTTTTTTTTTTTTTTTGGTTTTTTAAATACAGGGTTTCTCTGTGTAGTTCTGGCTGTCTGTCCTGGAACTCACTCTGTAGACCAGGCTGGCCTCAAACTCAGAAATCCGCCTGCCTCTCCCTCCCAATTGCTGGGATTAAAGGCGTACGCCGCCACCACCTGGCTCATGTAATTTTCAAGTTCATGTCTTAAAAATAAGTTCCTGGGCTAAGGGGCCCACAGACCTGATAAGATCAAAATGGAGGGTTTAAAGGGGTCTAACTCAAGTGGTATAAAGCTTGCTTAACATGCCCCGAGTGGTAAGTACTCAGTGGTAGAAGAAATATACTTTTTTTTTTTTAAAGCCATGGTTTCTCTGTGTATCCCTGGCTGTCCTTGAACTTGCTTTGTAGACTGTGTTGGCCTAAGACTTAAATACCTGCCTCTGCCTAAGTACTGGGATAAAAGGTGTGGGCCAAGTAAACCCAGCAGGGTGGTGGCTCATGCATTTATTCCCAGCATTTAGGAGGCAAAGGCAGGCAGATCTCTGTGAATTTGAGGACAGCCTGGTCTACAAAGTGAGGCCAGGGCTATTACACAGAGAAACCCTGTCTCAAAAAACCAAAACGAAGAAAAAAGAAAGGTGGAAGCCTGAGTCCTTCGCTTCTTAAAAATAGTATCTCAGCTGGGTGGTGGTGGCGCACGCCTTTAATCCCAGCACTTGGGAGGCAGAGGCAGGTGGATTTCTGAGTTCAAGGCCAGCCTGGTCTACAGAGTGAGTTCCAGGACAGCCAGAACTACACAGAGAAACCCTGTCTCGAAAAAAACAAAACAAAAAAAGTATCTCATTCTTTAGCCCAGGCTAGCCCTCAACTGGTGATAATTTTCTGCAATGCTGGGATTGGAGGTTTGACCCATTGGGCCAGACCAGACTGTCATATCCTCTGGAATCGGAAATACAGGAATTGTGAGCCACCTAAGCACTTTTTTTTTTTTTTGGTTTGGTTTTTCGAGACAGGGTTTCTCTGTGTAGCACTGGCTGTCCTGGAACTCACTCTGTAGACCAGGCTAGCTTCAAACTCTCGAACTCAGAAATCCTCTTGCCTCTGCCTCCCAAGTGCTGGGATTAAAGGAGTGCACCACCACCGGCCGGCTAACACTTGATGCTTTTGAAGAGAACCTGAGGTCAGTTTGCAGCACTAATCTTTCCGGAACTAAAAGTGTTTGTTTTTAATTTCCTTTTCAGATTGCGAATTGCTGCCTGCTGTGTAAGAGACACACATGAATTTTGTGTGATCATATACAGGGTCAAGTCCACCTGTGTACAGAGTGTCAGAACTTCTACTTTTCCAATTAGGACCCTTCACACCTTTTTCTTGCCTAATATTTCTGGGCAGAATAATGCAATTGTGGATAGAAATAATTTTTAAAAAGTTAAGTTTTCTTGAGCCAGGCCTGAAGGCACAAACTTGCAATTTGCCTTCCAAGTGCTGGAATTAAAAGTGTGTATTACCAGTTTTTTTTTTTTTTTTTTTTGAGGGGTGTTAATACAGGGTCTTACATGCTGCCCTAGAACTCACAGTAGCCCAGGTTAGCCTTGAACTCCTGGTAATCCTCCTGCATCAGCCTTTTTTTTTTTTTGGTTTTTCAAGATGGGGTTTCTCTGTGTAGCCCTGGCTGTCCTGGAACTCACTCTGTAGACCAGGCTGGCCTTGAACTCAGAAATCCACCAGCCTCTGCCTCCCAAGCGCTGGAGTTAAAGGTGTGCGCCACCACTGCCTGGCCTGTGTCAGCCTTTCTGACTTGCAGAATTATAGGAGAGCTACCACATGCAGCTTTTCTGGATCAGTCTTAACTTGGAATGTACCATAGTATTCCTGTGTATTTGAGGACAGCCTGGTCTACAAAGTGAGGCCAAGGCTATTACACAGAGAAACCCTGTCTCAAACCCTGTCCAGCAGCAGCTGAAGCACTTCAGTGGTGAAGAGGAAAACACTAATCTGCCACATGCAAGTCAGAGCCACCACCTATGCACACAAGCTGGATTTGCAAGCTCTTGGTCCAGGAGACTGAAAGTCATGAACAAGAGACAGTTTGTAGAACATCACAGATTGCAACCATAGCCAGGTGTCCAGCAACTTCTGCAAGATGGGTGCCATGCAGAAGCAAGTCTTGCTCAGCAGTCAAAGATCCCTCAGTCCTTAGCTCAAAACTATAGGGCCCAGACCTTATAGGAACCACTTCCTTGATATGGCTGGGAGATCTAGCATCCATCGAAATGGTCTGTGGCAAGAAGTAACTTCTGTGTACCACACAGAAACTGAATGGAGGATTTTAGGAAGGTTTAGCCAGGCCGATTTCCCAGAAAGTTGCAGGTGTAAACCTCGTCAGTCCCATCACAGGAGAGGCAAAGCCAAGGACTTTCACCCCTTGGTTTGTGGGCTGAGTCACTGATTGTGTTACCCAATCTGAACACATTGCCTATTAAATCCTGTAGAAACACTTCTTGATACCACTTGCTGAATTCATTCTGACAGCTAACCCTTTAGTGCCCAAACACCCCTGCCTTTAAGCTTGGTTCCTCAGTCCACCCAGCAAACTTCTATGCAAAACCATAGTAGTGTTCCCTTCAGATGCCTTTCTGTTTAGGAAATCAAGCGTTTTCTTGTCGGTGTTACCAGTTCTTCAACATGTCCTGAGCAGACTAAGCACAGGCTATATTTTAGTTAACTGCAGAAGCTGAGGCAGGATGATTATGAGTTCGAGGTTAGGTTAGAGACTTAGTGGGACATTGACTCAAAGGTAAACTATATAAAGGGGCTGGGAAGACAGCTGTAGCGTGCTTGTCTACCATGTTAAATCCCTGCTGCTTTGTAGCTAGGGCTATAGAACAGGAGGCAATATTACTCTAGCCCCATTCACTAGAGTTCCTGACCCCAGAGCCTGGAGCTCAATACATACACATCTATGGCGGGCAAGCCAAAGGTTGCAACTCTATCCTGTTGCTGAAATCATAGGTGTGGATTTGGTTTCTTAGGGAAAAAAAAAAAAAAACAGAATCAGAGCCCAAGGTGGTAGCACTGTCTTTGGACTCAGAAGGCTCAAGACACACTATAGTCTTCTGATAATCACACAAAATCTTTTTTTTTCTTCTTTCTTTATTGCTAGGTACAACATATAAATACATAAAAAGCAAGAACTAGAGGTGCTCTTAGGCTTCAAAAACAAAAGCAAAGAGGTCTTAAAAACATGAGAGTGCTCAGACCAAGGGCGATACTGCAGGCCAGACGCAGCAGGAGCGGACAAGCACTGCTTCTCTTCCAGAACCTGCACCTCGCAGTCTCTACCAGCAGGTGGATGCGGTACTGGGAAACTACGCAAACAGCGCTCCCCTCAGACAGGGAGAGGAAGCACAGTCATGAAAGCTCCTTCTTCCTGCTCCACACTGAGGAAAAGCACATCGTCTCTCCCCAGCTTTCCTGGGCATGATGCCCCATATTTGACATTTACCGAACCTGTCCAACTCAGTCCCTAACCAAAGCTAGAAGTTGCCCAAAGTTTTCTGGGGAGGGGAAGAGGCTAGTGTGATACCAAACAGATCTTTATTTGAAGTCATCATTGGTGCCGTTTCTTGCTGTTTATTTGTCTGCTAGCCTGTTCTTCCAGTTGCATGGCCAGGCGCAGGGCCTTGATGACCTCTCGAAGGGCTGAGAAGTGCTTAGCCTGGTTAGCCTGCTGTGTCAGGGCAGATTCTGCCTTGTTCACAAAGGTCTCCAAGTCATAGTCTGGCTGATCCGTCATCTCAGAG